TTATAACCCTTAATTTATTAACCCAATGGGTTAAAGCTGAATGTCATAAATAAATAAATAACCCTGGACAATTATAATACAACAGCATTTAATCCCACGATAAGCAGAGCTTGTGTTATGGGTACTAGACATCTGTTATAAATATTTAGATACTTTTTTCGTAAAATACATAGGAAACACCCAGACCGATACAAACAATCATAGTCATGAATACAAACGTTTGCACCGTATGCATAACATACATATAACAACAATATGCTAAAATTATAAATTGTATAAAGGTTTCCTTTGCCTTTGCTTTCTTTTAAAAATGTTGTGTTACCAACAAATATTTACAGAGAAAGATCAGCGGACGTAGAGGGCTTGTATCCCCCTCAGTTCACAATGCGTTTGAGGGACCGACGTGTGCAGGCGACGTACCCCGTCCGACTCACGTGCCAGGTGGTGGGCAGCCCCGCACCCTCCGTCACTTGGTTCAAGGACGGCGAGGAAATCACCCCAGACGGTATGTGAGCAATGCTGATTATTAAAACTGTTTATTGATATTTACAATTTCACCGCTAATGAATTTGATAGAATATACTTTCTTTGTAACATACAGTAAAGAAAATACGTAAATATTATGTTATAGAATATTTTAATAATCATTATCGACGAAGTCACCCTTCAAAATGTGGGCATGTCATGTATTGCGTTCACAACATCGACTGTTGAAAATTCCTCTGACTACCATCTGTGAAAACAATCCTGTGGGTTGTTGATCACATTATTTAATATAATTAATATAAAAGATACTTTATACATTTTTATTTAACTATGCTTCGCAATATCATTAATAAATGTAGACGCTTTTCTCTGCCAATCCGTAGTGAACTAATTAGATATAGGCGGCTGCCAATTATTTGAAATCAATAGTAATTATAAATAGAGCATAACTATTCTATTCAGATATGTATAAAAAGGCCACATTTATTATATGTAATAGATTTTTTTATATAATGTATTTACCGCTTATATATATGTACATCACCGTGGACATAACGCTACAGTGTGAAGCCTGAATGCCCGTTGTATGTACCTCTCATGTCATTCCGGAAGATAAATTAATGTTACTGCCACATCTTAACCTTCAACTGTATCACAAAATATAAAATAGATGCGGACAGGTACCCACGCAAACGATTTATACAAAATTTGTATTAATATTTTGATTAAGTACTACTATACTATAGAATTAAGATTAAGCAAAGTGAATAGTAATAATGTCCCTGGTAAATACACATAGCATCTTCTAGTCTCATGTTAAAGCAGTGGTTATGTTATGGAGACTGAACTAATGTAAACACTTAAATACTGTTTTAAAAATATACCGATTATGTGTGTATAAAAAAGAAAGTACATAGGAAACACCTAGACAATCTTAATCATGAGGTGCAAATGATTACATCGTGCGATGATTCCAACAATTCTTTGTCTATAAACCGCTGCGTTTTATTACACTCTACTATATCTTCTTTATTTAGGAAATATATATGTATATCAATATTTACTATTTAATGCCATCAGATCGACATACACAATCACAAGATGAGCATTTCCACACATTGGAGATTGCACCAACGGCTCTCGACGATGGTGGGCTGTATGAAGCTATGGCAAGAAACCCGAGTGGTGCCATCAGCTGTCGGTGCAGCCTCGTGGTAGACAAAGGAATCAGGGCGTACGTAGCTCCTGAATTCTGTTGTGGACTGGAACCACTTTATAGACTGAATGAAGGTAAGTGTTCTAAATAGAATTAATATTTGTTCTAGAAATGATTACACCGACAATGACTAGTCTAAACTAGTTTTCGGGGATATTATCTGAAATACGATATGGATTGTTTGGCACTATTTATTAGATTTTTAAATAATTTACACTAAATATTATAGTAAATAATTTACACTAAACATTAGAGTAAATAGTGCTAAAAATAAAGAGGGAAAATTCTACTTCTTTTATAGTTGTTTGCTAGTATAGCAGCAAAATCAACTTGACCAATTTGTATAATTTTAACTACATTACAAAGTAAACACAGGCATGCGGAAACGCCTGATACAGCTATTTTTATCTAATACTGTATTTCAGTATTAGATATATAGTAGACTATTATATAAAGATTTGATGACAATATTTTGGGTACTTAAATAATCTTTCATCATCAATAGGTGAAGAACTTAGAATATCAGCTGTAGTGGAAGCATACCCATCAGTCGGCGTAACCTGGTACAGAGACGGGGTACGGCTCCGTCCCAGCCGTCGAGCGATAATGACTCTAGATAGAGACGGTCAAATAGAGCTCGCTCTCGCTGCCGTAACTCCTCGCGACGCAGGAGTTTACACGTGTGCAGCGTCGAATGAGGTCGGCAGGGCGTCTACCTCCGGAAAGGTGGAGGTGATAGAAGGAGAAGGGACAGCTTGTTCTAAGAATTCACCACCGATGTTGATAAGTCCAGATGTACCGTAAGTACAAACAGAGGCTGATTGTATACAGTCGTCTGCATAAATTTCCCACTGTTAACTATTTCAGGTATCAAGCAGCTTACCTTGAAAGCTTCAGTTGTAGGCTGCTGATTAGGCAGTAAAATTACTGGATAAAAGGCAAAAGGCATAAATTTACTTCTGCGTAAATGTATAAAAATATAATGTACTTATACTATACATTATTTTGTAAATTTACATTCAATATACAGTAAATGTTTACAAGAAAGTAAATAGGAGACCATCTTGAAATAAAGGCACACGTTAAGGGAATGGATTTGCCGGAAACGGGAAACATAGTGTGAAAAGCGTTCTTAGAGAGTATAAATTTATTGACGTCTCCTTCCAAATCTATTGTCTGTATTAAAATACTAAATTGAATTAACCAATATAGTTCAAATATGTGACGTCACACTATAACATATATGTGGTATAGTGTGACGTCATAGATAATCATTATTATATATATGTATACTTTCATTTTAGATACTCCAAAGAGCCGATGTTCATACGGAAGCCGAGATCCAGCGAGGCCAGGGAAGGTGATACTGTCATTATCCAGTGCGAAGTAGTTGGCGATCCCAAGCCGGATGTATTTTGGCTGAGAGACTTCTTGAAAGTACGAGTATTTCTATTTTTAAAAAGAAAATTAAAGTTGAAGAATTTACTCGATTCGGTTAAATTTTATTGTGTGTATTATGTAACATTTTTTAGGCACTCACTTTTACGTTAGACCCCAAAATTGCTATATTTTTCTTATTCATAATGTGATTTATTTTTTATAAAATTTGTTTTTTATAACTCCGGTAAGAACTTTTTTAATAAAAATAAAGAATTTATTTTTTGTTGTAATAAAAAAGTAATTAATATTTGTATACCAATTACTACTGTAATACTGATCGCTTTATTTGCAGTTTAATGAACTAATAATATAATTAACGGTAACTTTAATGAACTAAAAGTATGATTAATAAACATTAATTGTCCATCAGCCCGATTACTACCGCGACGCAACACATTTCAAACGTGTAGGCGCTGGACCCGAGTATCAATTCGAGATTCCACACGCCAAGCTCGACTACACTGGAGCTTACTCAGTAGTCGCCAGGAATGTTCACGGTGAAGCTAAAGCAGTTATATCTCTTCAAATATTGGCTAAAGGTAACAACATCAATAAATATACCGTCAGTCAATATTATATTTACATGTATAGATATCGTTCATATTTTCCTCATGTTTCAGATCCAAGAGCAAGCGAAGATGTCCATAATATACGATATGGGTGAGTTAGTATTGAAATATTCTCTTCTAAAGCGATTTTGTTTTTATATATCCTCATTAAAGAGCTGCAGAAATAGATATTGGGATATACAAGATTGTCCAATTGACCATTGACCAGCACCCAAATTATTAAATATTTACATCGCACCCAAAATACTAATATATTATATAATATTTCTGGTACACTTAGATAAATTTATTATAAGTATTGGCGAAATGTTTTACAATATAGGTAACATTAAAGTCACATAAATGAGATTAACCGGGAATCCATATTTTCCGAGTTATAACATTATACAGTAATAACATTTCATAATATAGAAGATGAGAAAGAGATTATTATGACTTTATAGATAGATATTATATACTCAATAGATAATAATAATAATAGTATCTATCGAGTGAGAACCTTGGTGAATTAATACAACGCCAACTAGTCCCACGGTAAGCAGAGCTTGTTTTATGGGTACTAGACAACTGATATAAATACGTAGATTTTTTAAAATTCATACGTAATATACATAGAAAAAACCTAACCGATATAAACAATCATACTCATGAATACAAATATTTTTACCGTGCGAGGAATCGAACCTGCGTCCATCGGAAATAACGCAGTATGCTAAACCGCTAGACCACCGAGGCCGTTAGATAGACGTGGTTTTTAATTTCAATATTTATGTTTAGTCGCGTGGAAGTTATACCGCGTTTCGAACGAGAGCTCACGGATTTGTTGTGCCACGACGGGGACGCCATCGAGTTTGAGTGTCGTGTTTCTGGGAATCCAGATCCTGACATTAGATGGTTCCATTATACGGAGGTACGCATATATAGATTTACTTGACACTCACAACACTCAAATTAATAATTAATTCCAGGACTACACACTTCGTCTGTAAGCGAATTGTCCAAGCAAAGGGGTCACTGTTACTGTTACTACCACAGTCGTGTGAAACTATTCAACATATTTTATAGAAAGATCAATTATCAATTAATTAATATCTGAACTATATTTTATGAACGGAAAAAAGTATGTTCGAAACAGGCATTTTTCCATTCGGCAAATGAAATTATAGTTTATGGCAGTCGGGACACTAACATGACTGAACATATATAGTAGTCTTGTTCATGTATACTACACCCCTTTTAGGTGGCTTAGTAGATATACTAAGCTTTATCTATGTTAGTGATTTATGGAGCCTTGCTATAAGTAAACAAGACTGTCAAAAATTGAATAATACTCCTTTAAGTGTTCCCCTCCACGGAAATCTTTAGTAAAAGGCGAAAGAATTATACGTTTTGAAGGAAAACCAGAGTTAATAGACAATTTCCTTTCAGACCTTAAATAGACCGTCTGAAAATCTTAATAGCGCCTTTTAATGTTTTGAGTAGCGTCATCTAGTGTAGGGTGTTGTAAATATGAACTACACGTTTTAGCAGACAGTCCATTACAATTGTTGTTTGAGTTATTGAACATTATGTGCTCTGTAATATAACAATGTTTTAATGAAAATATTAATCTAATGGATTAAAAAAAAAGAGATGTGGGTCTTCTAGTATAGAACCTAAATTCTGTTTGTATTATACAAAAGAAACAAATTTTGTAAGATAGCAGCTTTAAGTTACATCACTTCTATTTTATTGTTGTATATTATATTATATATAATATAATATAATAAAATAGAAATGATTTAACTTAAAGCCATATAACAATGATAAAATATTTATATTATAATAAAATATTCCAGTAAATACTATTTTTATAAACAGTCGGTTGTATATTTACATAACTGTCGATTCAATTGTTTACCCTAATAATCTGTTATTACGTACTTACTTAAGAAATAATAAAAAAATATTTTTTTAATATATTATAAAATTACATTGTTTTTTTCACGTGTTTCATTATTTATCTACTAAAGAAGTAGTTTCTAAGGGCTTACTTTAAATTTAAATTGTACGTGAATGTATTGAAGTCTTTTTAAATATTTGCTCAAATAGGTACACTTTTTTACAGTTGATCCGTAAGTGTCCTGATTTTGAGTGGTCTTGCGAAGATGGCACAGCTCGGTTAAAAATCAAGCAAGTAACGGCTGAAGATGAAGGCACCTATCTCTGTGAGGCATCCAATAGCCTGGGGAAGGCCACATCGAGCTCGTGCCTCGTCGTCTACCGTGAGTAGACACCTAATACTCACCCGAGTATAATTCCTGTATTATATTTATTTCATTATGACAGGACAGAAAATATTATTATACATTGTAATCTTAATAATATATTGTAAACATTTTCTGTCCTGAATAATAACACAATAATAAATAGAAATATCCAAATAGATGGGTTCATCTATTTGGATATTTCTATTTTTCTACTCTACTGATGTGCTAGATAGATTTTTAATTATATAAATATTCTAATGTAATTTAATAATATGGTGGACCTGCCTGAGCTGACGTTACGCTGGAGGATAATACGATAATGAAGTTAGATTATCTGTCATCATCATTTGTTCTTCGTGACGAATATATAAGAAATTAATGATAATAATTTCTAGAGCCACAAGATTGAATTAATGTTATAAGGATTTAAGTTAATAATAATAGTGACACTTATCATCATTTTTAATAATTTCTCTCTATACATATATAAGACAGTTAAAAGTAGGAACTGTAGTGTATTTTGTACCAAAGACTATGTCAATCTACCAAGCCGTTCCATATGTGGGATGTAATTAGATATGTTCTGATGTACAGCTCCCGGTGAACCTAACACCCTGAGTCAGAGATTGCGGCGACCACCAGCGCTGCTATCTGCTGCCTCCACACCACGCTCTACTCCACGCAGTACGCCCGCTAGATCCGTCTCCAGAACACCTGGTAATGTGTCTAATTATACAAATAATATTTGGATTCTATGATGCCCATAAGAATGGTTATTATTACATAAGACGAATTCTTTATTTGCTTTATCAATATATAAATTACAAACATACTTTGAGGTGACTACTTTGTTTCTATTTTAGTTATTTAATCATATTTTTTTTCTTTTATATTAAAGGCCCGGACCCCAGACGGCTCTGCAGTAGTCCGTCGCGTCAAATGGCGCCTAAATTCTACACATATCCATTCAATAAAGTGGTCGAGGAAGGAGATCACGTAGCTTTTCAGTGCGCCGTCAAGGGTCTCCCCGCCCCTTGGGCCACCTGGGACAAGGACGGGATTATCATCACACCCTCCTCGAGGATCACTATCAGAGAGAAGGACGAGATCCTGAGGATCTTAGAGATCGAACAAGTGACGATAGAAGATGTCGGCCTATATAGGATAACCTTAGAGAATGACTTCGGCCTCGCCGAAGCTTCGGCGAGGTTAGAAGTCATTTCCCACAAGGGGAAGTTCTACGCCGGAGTGAGATCCTGCAGCGCGTCTCCAAGGAGATCACTCTCATACAGAAGAAGAATGCCTTCTTCTTCAAAAGACTGATGACGCCATCTTGATCGAATTTGCTTCGACAACGGCCCCTTATGTGGAACGAATGTAAGGTTCTTAACTCGTGTAGCGAAGCGAAATTGGGTACCCAATTTTGGTTTGCACTGCGAAATACTGCTATGCGACTACCATAAGCCTTTATATCGCATGTCTATATAAATGTATTTATCTATTTCAGGATATGTAAGGACAACGATCGTGAGATGGATTATTTTACTTATTTTATTTTAGTCATCGCATTTTATTTATTAATTTATATCGCAATTTCACATTATTATTGTAGAATTATAACAACGTTGAGTTTTTGTTTTTTTTTTGTTAGTATATATATACGTGGTTTCACGCGCCTACGCGTCTACCAAACGCTGGAAGTTTGCACATGGCAGTTTTGCGACCGTCTCTGCAACGTCTTTCTGGCGTAATTATTATATGGCGAATATAATGATATTTTATTTAACACCAAGTTTATAAAATATTGATTAATAACTAAATAATAATTATTGATAATTAATTTAATTAAAAATAAGTTTTAAGATTACATAAAATGACAGTTTCATTTATAGCTTACGTCTATATTCATAGAATTATGTTAAATATATGCGTGTTTAATACATACTTTTTGGCCATATTCTTGAATGGAGGCGCGTGAAACATCACGTTACGAGGAATGCCTTACCTACGGTGTACAATGATGATTGGTCAAAATGTAACTATTATCGAACCTTGTAAAGCTTACGAATTTAGTCCAAAGTATTTAGTTAGAGCACACCTCGAGATATTGTGAAAATAAAATTTATTACTATTACAAGTAGTTTGATTTGACTGATACCGAGCCGTAATAAATTCAAGATCTAAAAGTATGCAACCGCAAATGCTCCTATTAAAACAGACCTACCTTCACCACATTAATCAATTTACAAACACAAGTCATCTGTTTGAACATCGTGTTTTAAATGAATAGACACCGCGGTAACAAATATGTTAGAAGGATTAGTTTCTTAATTTGATAACTTCTTTCACGAATGTTATCAAATTAAGAAACCGATGCAATGCCTTTTAAATCATTGTCACTACATTTTTAATATTGTACTATTTACTAAGCCTATATTGAGTAGGTATTGTGTGGTTGCTATGGTTTTAGAAGATGTTAATAAAGAAATCACATTCACCATATAGAAAGAGACAGTTTATTTAAACAGCAATGTATACTATTATTTAATTAACGTCAACGTAATGATTTACAAACACTTAACTGCGTGCCGTGGAACGTACTAATTACGTCAAATTACACAATTTGCATATTAAATCGACACTAATTCGTCACAAACAGTGAAACCATATTAGCTGCAAATATACGAGTAAAATATTATTATATATTTGTAAGTATAACATACATATAACCATAATGTCTGGGAAAAGAACAAACAATAAAAATTTCAACCCGGAATTCTTTAATGTACGGGCACTTGATTGATTAGTTTCTTTACTGACAATCTACAGAAGTCGGTATCAACAATATATTGATTGTATAATACGAGATATAAACACGAATTACCTTACAACTAGGTACACCTGTTAGAAATATTCAATGCACAATTGTACAGTTCCACACAAAGTCATAAACAGTTAAATTAAGCTCATATAAATGTACATAATCATGTACATAAATGTAACAACACTATACTAAATATTTAGGTACAAATTGGCATTTTAAGACTTGAAATACATATATTAATTCTACAAAGTAGTAAAAAGGATAACTAATTTACTTTTTCCTTTCATTATACAATATCTTATATTAATGGATTGGTTAAACAGAAACACATAGACCAAATAAATTACTTTATACATATAATATAGAAAGAAATTATGAACAAGATTTGCTATCGCGATTAGCGATTATATTATCAGACCAATTCTATCAATAACAATATACCTAAGTCCCTGCTACTTCGATCCCTTATTAAAGAAAACTGTATTAATTATTAGAATAATACAATTAATTGTTTTCAATAGATTTAATCATGGCATTCAATTTTTAAAGCTCCGAATATGATCAACGAGATGTGAACGAGTTGTATATTTACTAAAATGACAATATATTATGAATGTATTGATATAAAGTACCAATCTAGTAATTGCACGGCACGCTACAGTTAACAGATTTATATTTAATGGCACCTGAGATCATTGAATGGCGCTAGTAATATATTATCAATAGATCTATGACCGGACACATTAAGGATACACTACAAAGTACACTATGCACAGTAGTATATATAAAATTCAATATCTCTAATAATAAAGTTAAGAGGAACTCAAAATATTCTTTAAATACATTGATGGCACTATGAATCCGACTGGATTAAACTAATTGTGCGGTTTATTAAAATAGAAAGTAATAACACTCAAGGTTCTGTGATTATAGCACATGAAAAAGTAGGTATATCATATATCTACTTTAGTAACAATTTTCTTTTAAGAATAGATTTTGCGACTGTAATGGAAATTTTGAATAAAAATCAGATGTAGGTTATATAGATGTTGTTATATAGATGTTACTATATTTATAATGGAGTAAATTTATGAATTCTTTGTTATTTCTACTAGAAACTTACCAATTTTAGTAGACTAGACAACTACCATTTGGAAATTATTGATTTGTATTGATCTGTAAAATTATAATTTGCTGATTTAGCGAAAGTATTATGTTATGTACCATAAATATACAATTAGAACAAGAATTACTAAGTACTGAATTTATGTACACAATATTAAAGTGAATAAAATTGGCACTTCGGGTTACGTGATGAATTTTGAACTCAGATTAG